TATATCGTCACAAACAGAACTGCCCGGTAAAACCGTAGGCAGAGAGAGAGAAGAGGACAACAAACGAGGGGTTGTGACAAACTGTTTCGTCGGAGTTTCACCGACTCATCAGGAGGTTGAACCCTCAACAGTCTGCAGGATCCCCTCACTGATTACACTGTAAATGATAATCTACCTTAACCAAAATCAAAGTAGACTATCACACACCCACACCAATATATATATATATAGGGTTACCTGACCGAACGTTCGGGGGCCCCCGGGCTGGCCCCCGAACGTTCAGGCGTTCGGGGTCCCGTTCGGGGGCCGAACACCTACAAGTTCGGCCCCCGCCAAAACAAATTTTGGGGCCTAAAAATAAGTTTTTGTTCCTGAATTTTTTTCGTGAGTTCTCTATGATGTAACCTACACGCATATAAATTTTCAAGCCATTCTGCTCAGCCACAAAAACATTAAAAATCGTCAAAGATGAGGGTGTTAAAACGTGCTCGCCCACTCACTATTTTGTTTTTTTTTCACTTTTAACTTTTTGTTTTCACTTTATTTCGTGGCCTAAATAAATTTATTGTTTTTCGAAAATATTTTAACGAGTTATTGATTATGTAAACTACATATCTGTAAATTTTCAGGGCATTTGTCGATGCAAAAAATAATTAAAAATTGACAAAGATGGCAGTGTCCAAAAGGGGCTGGCACACTCACTCATTTTAATTCTCTTTTTATTTTATTTTTTTTATATCATAGTGTTTATTTTTTGTATTTGATTTTTAATTCAAATGTAGTAAGAAATTTGGATGCAGTGCCCAGGCAAATGTTGTTTAGTTTATTTTTCTCCATAACATATTGGTTTTTCAAAATTGTTTGATTTTTTTTTTTTTTTTTTTTTTTTTTTTTTTTCCCCTTTCGGCCCGAACAGCCCAACGCCTTCCGAAGGGGTCCCATACGTTCGGGCGTTCGCGTTCGGCCCGAACGGAAACCCTGTATATATATATATATATATATATATTTTTTTTTTTAATTTCGTTTTAAGTCTAAAAAAAATCCTAAAAGTCGAGGCCGCACCCAACCACGGCCGGAGCCGTGGAGGCCGTGATCACGGTCGCCCTCCGAGTTTGTACCCACAGCTGCGGCCGCGGGTGATATATAGGCCTGCACAGCCACTATGAAGCATTCTAGTTCACCAAGCTCGTGGTGAAGCCTACGCTCGTCATGTCCATG